GAACTGGCGGGATCTGCGTGCCCCTCCTTGGTCATGCGCAGTGGAGCCGGCGCGTGACCTGGGAGAGGCGCGAAAATCCCTTTTGCTAGCTATCGGTACCGAGAAGGTCAGCGCAGGCGCAGAGTATCCCAAGGGTGTGATGCACAGAGACCACGAAGAAGATTGAACAGTATCAGCAATAAGGAATGAAAGTCACAAGCTCTTTTGGGTGACCTAGTAATGCACAGAAATTGAACTACAAAAATTATATATCTATTATACCTATGTAGTCATCTGTGAATCCCACTGTAGAGAATGTCTTTACATCTATGTGGCCATGATCCTGCCATGGGACCCAGAATATAGCCACTAATATAAAATTTAGCAACTTTTTTTTTTCAGAACAAATTTCATGCATTTATGGTTGCAGAGAAACAACAATCTGCAAACATTTTCTGCTAAAATGAGATTTCTTTTACCCCTCCCTCCCACAAAGAAAACATGGAACCCAAACAAACAATGCACAAAATTAGTTTCAATTATAAACGTTGTGTTTGCAGAATGTGAGGGGAGCGTTACCTTTTATTATTTTAGACCCACAATATGACTCATGCTTTTAATGGTAATTAAAATGTAAAATAAGCAAACTAAGTGAACTAAACAATTTTGGAAAATGCATCTGTGGAGTTGGCACCTACAAAATATAAATAGAAAGCATTCACAGTTCCCTCTTTTCCATCAGCAGCCTGTTCGTCCTCCCAAAATCCTTCTCTAGAAGGTTGGAGAACCCTCAGGCACAGAGCAAGGATGCGGTGACTGAGCAAGAAGGGGGGATCTGCAGAAGTCACACCCTCACTTGCGGAAAAGCTTGTTTAACAGGGGAAGGGATTTCTGGTGATTTCCCTTCAAGCTGCGGAGCCCTGTGCTGTATACAGCATTCCACTCTCACCCTCCGCAGTTTCATTTTTGAGTGTGCAGGAGGTTGCAAGAAGAAGGGGCAAATTCAGTTACATTCGTGGTTCATAGGAGCCAACCTGTTTTAAACAGGAAGAAGAAGAAGAAGAAGAAGAAGAAGAAGAAGAAGAAGAAGAAGAAGAAGAAGAAGAAGAAGAAGAAGAAGAAGAAGAAGAAGAAGAA